ATAATTACAGGAAACACAGGGAATCCAGGACAGATGATCCCTTCAGGACCAGTGCTGAGAGTGGCGATACCAGGAGGGGGGAGGGAAAGTAGTGTAGAAAGGGGGAACCAATTACAAGGTTCTACACATAACCTCCTTCCTGGGGGAATGGACAACAGAAAGGTGGGTGAAGGGAGACATCGGACAGTATAAGATATGACAAAATAATAATTTATAAATTATCAAGGGTTCCTGAGGGAGGGGGGAAATGAGGAGCTGATATCAAGGGCCCAAGTAGAAAGCAAATGTTTTGAGAATGATGATGACAACAAATGTACAACTGTGCTTGACACAATGGAGATATGTATGGATTGTGCCAAGAGTTGTATGAGTCCCCAATAAAATGATTTTTTTAAAAAAGGCAAAAAAAAGGTATTGTGCTTTCATTCATTCCCTAGTCAAATACCTATTAGCAACATGCAATTAATTATATAAATAAAATGTGAGCAAGCAAATTAATAAGTGTATAGATTTTGTATCTGACTTGGTATCTCCACCCCTTTCAAACAATGATGCATTTGATAGAAACACATATAAATAAGTGAATCCATTCAAAGTTTCATTAATGGTTACCCCCACTGCTATTACATTATGCAAGTTTTGCAGTGGGTCTTCCCCTATGGAATGTACTGGGTGAGACCATCCCAGTTAGGATATGTTTTATTTGAGAATGCTTGAATTCCATGACTCAGAAGTTTACTCTTGTCCATTTCTGAATCATTATCGAGTGTAGAACACCATCTAAGTTTTCCTGAGGCAGGCAGTTAAGGGGAGATTACTTGCATGGTTCTTGGTAGCTCTGGTTGCTGGCTTTAAAGAAGATGCTCTTATTAGGGCAAGGGCAGTGGAATTAGATGACATTTCTCCAATATTTTTCTGTAAGAGAAGAAAAAACATACGTAGTGTATGTGTCACATACTACATATTTATTCCTACATGCATAGTTTGAATGGAGCAATTTCCAAACAGCAAATTATAATTTGATTAGATTGGCGTGCTGAAATGACCTGGTGATCCTCCTCACCTAAGAGTTAGAGATTTATAAACGTGTTCTTTGATAATATTATTTTGGGAAACAAAAATATGAAAGTCACCATTTAGTGTCAAA